CCTTGCAATACGGTGCAATAACCTTCCATATATATACATATATATATATATATATATATATATATATATATATATATATATATATATATATATATATATAGAGAGAGAGAGAGAGAGAGAGAGAATACATTATCTGTGATTATTGTGTCTCATGCATCATATTTTGCTTGAAACTTTCCACTATGCTTTTTTTCTCTATCATAAAAAGAGTGCAAGAACAACACATGAACTGGCATTTGTCTGAACAACCAACTTGCCCTACTTACTAACGTTATGAGCTTTTTCTGCCAGTGAAATGTCAAAACTATTGAGTTTCGACATATGTTTAGAATACCCCTTGTGGGTCATATTTAACTCAAATCGCAATGAGTGTCTATTTGCTATCCTTCACAGGTCCGTTAATGTCTGCAGATGTTCAGAGTTGTTTTGGATGTCCGACGAATATTGTGTTTTTATTGGCTTGTCACTCAGAGTGGAAAATGTTCTTGTAGCTGTATATATCTGTGCCAAAACGACTTCCAAGTTGTGCCGATTTATTTGGCTTGGACGGCCTCGTTACGCAATAAGTGGACAAGGCATACATTGATGACCTAAGCGTAATTAATTGATGCAATAATAAGCACAGTTCCTTTAATTAAACTAACCTCTCTATGCCCCTTTTCTGCATGAAGCTCTATGTGTTGCGTGCTATGGAAAGCGGATGCGATAGCGGGAAATTTAATATGCACGATGCTATCTTGCCAATTTTTTGTCCAAAGGTGTCAGAAACGGGCCAAAAAGATTTCGCACGATCTTTCATATGGAGAAGCCAACTGCTTGCTGAGTGTTGCAATGTGGATGAAGGAAATTTAAAATCAATTACATTATTTCCGGCATCTTTCGTACCAATAGATGTTGAGCGAACTACGCATGTAACTTCATTCCTGCAAGGTGTGGCGTCTTGCAAAAATTTGGTCTCATCGGGTCAATATAAGGGCCTCAACTCTTCCAGCTGCTTTTCAACAGCCATACAGTGCAGCCAATGCACCAGGCAATTTTCAGCTCAAAAGCTGGGTGTTTATGGCTTGGTGCACACAGTTGCTCAGACTTACCAAGACAGAAACAGCAAGAAATGAAACGTGGAAAACTGTGCTCTTTATCGCACCAATTAATTATATATTCAGGCCGTCGTAGAGGGTACACGTTTCAGTATGAGCATATATAGGAGCTATTCACGTGATGTCATCCGCGAGAGGCGCTAGTTGCCATACTTATAATTTCGCGGGCAAACATCGTCGTACCTATGGGCATCAGCAGGGGGGTGCAATAAGCGCACTTGCCCCCGTGAAGCCACAACACTTGCCCCTCACTCAAGTTACTCCAGCACTTCCTTTCTGCCTCCCCCAGCATTGACGCAACATGGTTTTGCACCCCCCCCCCCCCCCCCCAAAACAGTATCCTGCCGACGCCCATGGTCGTAGCACAACCCAAATTTTTGGCAGCATGTATTACATAGATATTTTTTAAAGAAAACTGGTTAGTGAAGTGCAGCGCCACCAAACATCAGGCTGTCATATGCCAGATCACTGATGGACCACAGCTATGGCAGCACACTTGCTGGCACTTGGGAAGAGATCAATGAATACCTCCTTATCAGTTCTCACAAGCACAGCACACCTACGCTCGTGTTTTACTCCTGTTGGGCATCACTGCTCTGTGAGCATACTGCTATAAAATTATGCATTCCCACCTCTCCAGTACTGTGAAGAGGCATCGTTAGTCATCGTCATATGAGCTGGGTTGAAAAACTTGCCCAAATGTTCATCAACTGTGACGTACATTGAAGGGTGAAATTGTTATTGAAGCGTTGTCTTCAACACAATTCTTATTTTAACGAAACCGACAGTAGTTGCTCAATTTTTTTCCCCCATCTAGACAAAACATATACAAATAATCAGTCGGGTAGACATCGTGCGCTTATGCTTTCCAGCTAAACATCTAAAGAACCTTAGTCTCAAGTAAGCACAATGAACTTGATGGTACTGACAACACTGCAAAGCTTAAAAATACTGATAAACTGTATGCTAAGATCTTTGAGGAATAACAGTAACATCTAGAAAAAAACTGCTCTAATTTCTATGTTGTCTCGCAAATCAAGACATTGCCGCAAGACGTTTTTTTTTTTTGCAAGCTTAATTCTGTTTTATGAGTGCACTGTACGGTTGTTCAAAAACAGACTAACAAACGTGTTTATTTAATCAAATTTTTCATACCCAAGAATACAAAATTTCCAAATGCTTACGTTTGGGTGAAAAAAAGGCACACACATCTGGGGATGTTCCTGAGAGCCAAAACTTACTTGGGGTCATTGCTCTTCGGTGGCGCTAATCTCCCCATAGGTGGGATGGCACCAGTGGCCCGCATGCACCTTGGCCAAATTCCAAGTGTAAGGAAAGGACTTAAAGACGCCGAGGAGCATCAAACCAGAACTGAAGAAGACGAGCGGAGAGCAGGTGGCACGAAGGCGACAACAAGAAATGAAGAAGAGAAGAAGAAGGCACGTGCGATTACGAGTCAACTGTGCGCCAATCAGCTCATGACCTGTGGTGGCCCATAGAGGTGGCGTTCCACGATTGGGCCACGGGCGACCATCACGTGGCAGTGGGCTTTGTGGCTGGGGACGAGCCGAAGCAGCGGCAGACGGGAGACAGCGGGCCGAAGCGTCGGACGCAGGCGATTCAGGTTCCGGCCAGGGAACGCGGCTGTCCACGCTACTGTCGTCCAACTACCAGCTGGGGCGGCATTGCCGGCACGAGTACTGCATCTCGGGGCGCGGTCTGGCCTGCTGTTCTCTTCCTTGCCGAGGGCATCGCGGATCTCGGCGAGGCGTCTCCACGGTCAGCCGTTCGACACAGCGACGAACGTGGCCTGGCTAATGGTCACGGTTGCGTCGAGCATCGCGTCTCGGCGCACGCTCTTCGCTGGACGGGCTGGCCATTCCCCGCATGGAGCATCGCGTCTCCGATGCGGGTTGACTGCTCCGTGGCCGCACCCATGCCATCAAGCGCCAGTGTCACCAGAGCGTCGCACTTCGGCAAGGGACGAGCGAGATGTTCTGCCGGGCGAGACGCGGGCGTGTGTACGGAGGACCATGGAGCCGGGCGAGGTTCAGGGTGGCCGAGGATTCAGATGCCAGGAGAGTTGCTGCCTGCATCGAGGATCGCCGAGTGGTGCCGAGCCGTACCGAGCGACGTGCCAGCCTCGGAAGTGGGCCGCGAGCTCACGAGGTGCGCACCCGAGGGTACCTGGCTGTGCCCTGGCCAAGGCGACGAACGCCGGTGAGTGAGCTGCCGCACCGCAGCTGTAGCGAGCAGCATTTCAGCACGGCACAGACGGTGCTGTGCTGGCCAGAACCCGCACGTGGAACCGCTACGCCCGGAAGGTGATCAAAAGCTTGGAAACGAGGTCCGAGGTCGCGCTGGTCAAGGCATCTCCGCCACTGCAGCTCGAGAGTTGAGGCCACGAAGGCAGACGAAACGGTGCGCCGCTCGAGAGGACGAGTTCCTGGCAGCGTTCCTGAGCCGGACGTGAGACCCGTACGTGTCGGCCAGGTCGAGCTCTGGTGTGTCTGTTCAAGGTCCAAGGCCGAGACCCGCCGAACGGCTCCTGCCTGGGTGCAGTGGCCGGGAGCAGGTTCGTGGACGAGGCCTACCGGGTGTGGTCGTCGTGAGCCATGGCCTGATCCAGGACCTCCGGAGTTGCGACCCTTACTGCTGGGTTGGCCGCGACGTCCGACTCAACGGCGCTGCACACGGTAGCGTATCCGTGCGTCGTCAGCCGTTCCACCCATGCCATGAAATAAAAAGTTCATGTTAATGCTTTCTCGTCCGCTATCAACAAACATAGTGACGAACATCCGATAACCATCACACCAAGAAATCTAGTGGGTGTTTCTTGGAAAATCCCTTACATGTGCGATGTTGATGACATGGGCCAGAGCAGCCGATCGCCTTCCCATGCAGCCATGGTATGTCTGCTCCTGGACGGAGCCATCAGCGGTTGCAGGTGTTGGTGACAGCAGCAACCACCTCTCCCGAAATCACCGGCCTTTTATCAGTCTGGCTCTACTTTGGACTCATCCTCCTCACTAACGTTCGGCATTCGAGCTATCAGGGTGTGGACATGTTCATCATGTAGTGCACTGTTCTCCAGTTGGTTCTCATCCTTGCCTCTTGTAACGATTGTATTGCATGAGCCGTTACTTCCTTTCTGGTGGCAGGACACTAGATTGAGCGCGTCGGCATGGGCAAACACAGGGTTACAAAAGCAGAAGACGTTTGTACATATTTCTGTCCTTCATCTGTTCTCTAAATACGAGGTGAATAATTCTGTCTTCTTGTCTTTCCTCTCTTTGACGGTGGGTCCTACGAAGTGGGCTCTCCACACACCATTTTTGCCAGACAGCATTTTCGACATAGTGATTATCAGGCATGCACTATAGTCGGGGTTCTAAAAATGCTGGCCATCGAAGCATGGCTGCTATGACCAGAACCAAATCTGCCACTTTCCATTTGGCTGTGCAAGTCCAAGAGTCTACACTTTGGCCCTCAATTTGGCGAATGCAGATTGCACCAATTTGACGTCGTGCTGCATGAGCTTCCCAGCAAGTTCTTGTGTCGGGCAAGTAGTGCAAAGTATACTACGTGGCTGCCCTTTTGTCTTCGATTTGACCACTGCATTGAAACCACTAGCGCCATGCTGCACTAACACTAGAAAAACTGGAACGGCACTGGCACAATACTTTAGTGAACTACGTCCAGAAAGTGCAGCCAAATCGAGGAGACCTTTTATTAGGCACCTTCAGTGGCCTGAGGTAGCCCACAGCCCATTTATCACTTTTCAGAAAAGCATGCGCTGTAGGACAAGCACAATAATATAGCATAATTCGTCTTCGAAATTCTATCTAAAATTGGCAGTATATCAAGAGACTGCCTATAGTACGACACCACCAGACACAGTTATACAACATCTGACAAGTAGAATTTTATTATACATGCAACAATCATTTTGTAACACCAATACGGTTTGTTTTTTGTCACCTATACTTAAAATACGGAAAGAAAATATTTTGTAAAATGACTGAGACAAGCATACTTTGACCACATCACGAGAATCTCTCTCACAATGCAGCTATCCTATGTGTGTCAAAGTGGGGATTCTGCAACTAAAGTAAAGCTCTTGACTCTTGAAAACCACAATGGTGGAAAAGCATTGCTTGTCAAGTCAAATGTGGCCACTGACTCCTGGCCCAACCTAGGTAAAAAAGCAAAAAAAAAAAAGACAATGAGCAATGAAATGCCACAATTCCAATCTTGTGGAAGCTACCTATAAAAGAAGTGGTGAAGCAAATGTCACAAGCTGCTTGCTTCCAACGCGTGTCAAATGCAATGCTAAAGTCAGAGGCAGTGTCTGCGGGGGGTGTGAAGGGGCAATAGCCCCCATAAAATTTGTGCCTCCCTCTTCCCCCTCTTTCTTTGGAGCAAGCACAATCAAAACACAACGCATAAGTCTCACATTTCCCTCACCCCTAAAAAAATTAGTATAAAACTTGTTGTTTGGCTAGTCGGTTGCTAATTTCTAAAAATATAATTACAGCACAAACAAAACACGGCACATTCACACACGCAGGCATCAAACACATACAGCACTCACACAAAACTTGACAAGAATACAGGCCCACTGTATTAGTGATATACTGTAAAAGAACTAGCAGGTCCTGGGTGCCCCCTAATCCTGGTGCTAAAGCTCTATTGCTTAAGCAAGCTGAACATGTTTGTACACTTATAAAAAAAATTTTGCTCAATATGGCATGCCACGCACCACAATGTAAGGCCCAATTGCAAGTTTCTAAATCTGTTACCAGAGTCCTTCAACACTTTCATTGGCCATGAAGCTTTGGCGAAAGTCTGATATAGAGACGGGAGCAACCACTAAGGGCGCCCTCGCCCATGGCAGGGCATCGAAATTGTACGGCACATGCTGGAGCTGTAAAACGTCATTAAATGTAGCCATGAAGGTCGTCTTCAGAGTGATGTTAGCTTCAAGGAAATTTGGGAAATTTAGCGTCGAATGAGGCCTTGAAGCTAGAAATTTAATGGCTTGCTGATTCCACTGTAAGATATGCCACCACTGTGAAAGCATGCTTATTTTTTCTCCTTAAGCATCTAGTAAACATTTGCGTACTATTCAGAGTTCATTAACAACTCTGGTGGTTCTTAATACGTCACGGAAGTGCAGTGGTTGCAGCTTTTGAGAATGTGTATCCAACCTTCCAGGCTATATATACATGCGGTGTTTTTATACGAAGATATATATCTTAAAGTTGCCTCGCACTTATTAAACGAATGGCCACTTTGAATGAATCAGTGCTTTTAATTTAGCAAGTGATGAGGATCAAGCAATACTTCATATGATGTTTGCCACATTTTCGTGTTTTGTTTTGCCTTAATTTATCATTACCGTGCTGTAGCACGTACCAAGTTTGGTTGGCCATGCAATGTAGTTTCTCGGTTCTTTACTCTGCTGTGTACCTTAATCATGCTGTGTGTTCCCTGTCCTTTTTTTATTGTTTTTACTGTAAAGGTAAAAGCCTTATATGTCTCCTCAAACGTGAGAATTGACCAACTGTGTCCCCCGCTGGAGGCGTCAACATGTGATGCAAGAAGTTATCTTCCCGAGCTCATTACGCATTGATTTAGAAAATGAAGTTTGCACGCTTTTACAGCTTCCGAAAGTTTTGTACAGCATTCTGGTGCAACTGCTCTTGCGCAGTCACCTTAGCAAATATCCATTAGTAGTGCTGAAGTCTTTGTTGCATGCAACGGATGAGTGCTTTGATTTTTTCAACCTATGAGGAGCTCCATGTAGCTCCACCTGTTCGACATACCACTTCTACACTTTTGGGCATCTCAATGCCTGTATGAATGAAAATGGCAAGCATTTCAGTTATCGGACTTCTGTATTACTTATGGCATGGAACGAGAAAGAGGCGGCCGTATGCTAACCATCATTAAAGGCTAACTCCAGCGATTTCTTGACCATGTCAAGGTTATAGTGTTTCTATGTTCCTGAGACACTCTTGTCACGAGCCCAATAGCTGGAATGCTCAAGAAAATTGAAAATAATTTTTAGTAAGCAAAACTGTGCAATACCAAAACCAAAACCCAACCGAGCGCCCTGTCTGCGTATGACATACTATTTGGTAGAGCCGGCGGCTGTATACTGGTTTCGCCTGCACGGAGTATGGAAACTGTGAAAGCTAGTCCAGCGAAGCACCGGCGAAACACCACAGAAGAAGGAAGAAAGCATTCCCATGCTATACCCGTGCCGAACACCGCCGCCGTCGCTTTGTGGAAAGCACAATAAACACTGTAGCGGTGAAAGTAGCGATGCCATCGACTGGGTCACTTTCGTCGACATGCCAAACACGACGTCACACAGACAGTGTTGCCAATAATTCTGGCAAGTGAGGTGAGCTTTTTGAGGCAATCTTTAAAATTCATTTGCAAATGATCAGTGCATCACTCAAACCTGTGATTTGGCATAAAGGACGAAAATGTGCAAAGGAACATACCTAGCGAATTTTAGTGAGATTCATTGACCTAGAGAAATCGCCGGAGTTGGCATTTAAATGCGTCATTATCCATTGCAGTTATGTCAAAAGGGCTCATGCACAGTGTTGATGCAGCCTCAACAGTCTCCTGCTCGCTGACGATTCCAGTCAATGCTTGGTAGGTGTGCAAGCTCTGCATCTTTTTGCACAGCACAAATACACCGTGAGGCCATAGAAAATCTACGGCACAGCGTCGGCAAAAGTTTCGGAACGTTGCGCGGTGATTTCACAACACCTCCGAGTAGCCACTGGTCCACGCAAAGGATGTCACTCTCCACTCTCATCGAAGTGCTTTTTGCACAAGTGCACATTCGGGGAAGCAATGTGAAACCACCAGCTTCTTGTCGCGCTATTGCGACATGCTTCCACTTTTCCCGCCGATCACGGTCTGTAGGCAACGAGAACTTGCGAGACTTTTTTGTCATTTTTTTCGTAACCAGATCAACAACCAGGTACCCACGAGGTATTCGGTATCCTTCCCGATCTTCAGGCACACCACAGTAGGCACAATAGCAATCATGTGGTGAAGAACTACGCGATGAGACGCCACGATATTATGCATTGACACATTAGCGGCACTAGCAGCCATCATCCCTATGGTTTGATCAATGCCCTGCACTGAACGAGCGCATCGAGGCACTTTATCGCGCGCGGTGATGCAGCGCCGCCCCCTGGCCTCCGCTCGCAGTGCACAAAGCTCTCCCATAGAGTTTTTGGCGGAGCTTCACGACCAATAAAAGTATTGAAGAACCCTGCTGCTACTTTCCATTTGTTCAGAGACTGCAGGGACATTTGGATCCTTTGGGGCCTCTGGAGAGTAATGTCCAACTTTAACCTTGAACACCACGTTTTGGGAAGACACCGAGCATAGTTATGAAGGGTATTACAAACCAGTAACTGTGAATGGCATAGCTCTTCCACACCAGCTGTGCATTTGTGCGGCCTCGCACGCTTCTCAGCTCCAACTCCTGCATCAAAATCGAATGATGCATACAGTGATTTCAATAACTAGGAAACCCAGGTGACTATATCTTAGCAATAAGTACAGCAAAATCTCGCTAACGTGTTTTCCATTTGTACAGCTTTTCAGCATGTACACAATTGGGAAAGCAGAAAATAACCTATAGTCGGTAACCTTATAGTCGGCAGGTTACCTTAGTCGTTAGGTTGGGTTGACTTGGGTTACGTCAAGGTCACCATTTTCAATATAGCTGAAATTTACTGTAGGCTTAAGTATTAGACCCAGAGCAATAGTTTCGAAGCTGACCTTGTGGAAAAAAAAATTTGTTTGCCAAAAACAATACCCTGTTAAACAAAACCTAAAAGGAGCAAAAAAATGTGTTTCGTTTTAAGAGTAGTTTTGTTTATTGAGAGATAAACAGGTGTACATAATTCAAGTACAAACTAATCATATTAGAGGCAGCTGTACCATTTAAGCAGCAATTTCATTTCAAAGAGTTCTGCTTAATGGGAGTGTAAAATACATAAATTTTGGCTGCAAAAACTTTTCTGCTAATTCTGGGATTTCTCAAATATGAGTACACCTGGGGAAAAAACAGTGCACTTCTTGGTCACAATATTTATTCCCGCCAAAAAGCAAGTAAAATACAATCTTATGAGTTCATTATTTTTCTCACCTGTTGAATCACTTTTGAGGAAAAAATCGCACATATGGCAAACTGCACAAAACACCTGTGTTTCCAGACTTTCTAGCTGTAAAGGAAAGCTCGTTTGAGGATGGTAAGCAGTCGAAAGCTTGTGTTTAGTGGCGCAGGAGCGGAGGAGGTCATCAACCACTTTGAAAAGAAAGTAGCTGTCTCGGTCGGTAAGGAGCTGCTGAGGGGCGCAGTGGTGAGAGATGACATTCTCCAGGAGAAAAGAGCCCGTGTGATTGCGCATCGAGTAGCATAATTGGTTGCTACTGCAATCCAGCGATTTCCCCTGCTGATGTAGGAAAAGGACCAAGCAGGCCAACGTCAACACGTTAGAATGGGTCTGTTGGGATGTCGAGTGGCTGAGCGCGCCCACCAAGAGGGGTATTTGGCTTTTTTTTTTTTTCGTTGACAAAGGTCGCAAGCTGCAAAATAACGGGAGACGTCCGGTACATGCCAGGCCAGAAGAAGCACCAGCGAACTTGGTTGAAGAACTGTGACACGCCGAGGTGACCGGCTATTGGTACATCATGAAGCTTAGTGAGAACAGTCTGACGCAAGTGAAAGAGAACAATAAATAGTCTTTCGGGGCCGCCAGGACACAAATAGCAAAGGGTACAATACACTATCATGGAGCTCAAACATTAGAAGAGAAAGGTTGGGCGTCAGCGATAATACTGTGCAAGAAGGTATCCCGCTGTTGTTGGATTCCAATGTCCTGAAAAGCAGAGAGAGAACATTGGCAGATTCGGTGGTTGTAGTTGAGTCACCGTCTGGTCAGTCGACAATATATTGAGACAAGCTTTGAACATCTTGATGCAAGCGGCCAGTTCTGTACAGAAGTGAGTAGTCGAATTCTTGCCCAATGTTCAAGGTGGCCTGAAGGGTATATCAGTGATGAAAGCCAGTATAAAGTGCGGTGATCAATGATGACTGTGGATGGCCGGCCATACAAATAAGCACAAAATGTGCCAACTGCCCAGACGAGTACTGAACATTCGTGTTTAGTGATGGAATATTTCTGCTCAGTAGCGAAGGTAGATGGACCACCTGAAGCTGTGCAGCAGGACGTCCATCATACATTCGAACATGACAGGTGTATTGCATAAACTGAATGTCATCAATTTAAAAACCGGTAAAGGCTGTCTAAAGTGATGAACGCCATCTTCTCACGGTTCATGTAATCAACAGCAATTTGCCAGTACGTACTACAGCAATTTGCCAGATCGATGGATGAAAAATATTTTTCGCCGTGAAGGCAATCCGGGGCATCGTATGTGCATGGCAAAGGGTAGATTTCCTTCTTCACTACTTTGTTAAATAGCGATAATCCGTGCAAAATCTCCAGCTATTGTCCTTCTTCTTAACAAGTACAACAGGCGACAACCATGCACTGCAGGAATGGCTCGATGATATTTGGAGAAAACATTTTGTCGACTTCCTGTTGGATGATGCAGCGCTCAGCATGAGAAACAAGGTAGTGTCGGAGATGAATGGGACTCGCGTCGCCTGTGTCAATCCCATGCTTAACAACGGATGTTTGGCCGAGAGGGCGGTCGCCAAGGTCGAAGATGTCCCAGAAAGATGCAAGGAGGGAACGCAGGTGGTTAGCTTGTTCGGACGGTAAAGGCCGGTTCACGCTAGTGGCAAGCATGCGTCGCCATTTGACGTTCTCAGGCAGCCCTGCATGGCTGTTTCCTTCGCGCACGTCCGCCGTTCTTTGCCGTTCGAAGAATTGGTCTGAGACCTATTTCTGTGCCGTTTGCCAGAGAGTGACACAGCCAATCAGCGACGGAGGAGCGACATGGGTGAGCAACTGTAATAAATGAATGCGTGGTTCTTGCAAACGGGAAAAGGCACTTAATTTCTGTGTGCCTATAGGGCGACACGGCCCAGTGCTTTGTAGGGGATGGGAGAAGGGAGATGAGATAAATAAGAGAGAGCACTCGCTGCACAGGAGCGACAGAAATAGAGAACGGATGTTAAAAATAGAGGACATGGTCAACATGGTCGAAGGAGTCCCGAGAATGGGGCACCACTCGGCGAAAGCTATACGACGACAAGAGATTGCGTACGGTGGGCCGATCGGCGACAGCTACGCTGGCGTCGGAGATTGCGGGCAAGAAAATCGTGTTCAGCTCGAAATCCAGCAGGTGACTCCCCTTCACGCTATAAATGACAATGCCGTACGTGTTGTTCTCAGGCTTGGTTCGAGCATTTAATAGAGTGTTTTGGCATCTCTGGCAGACTTTCCGCAAGCGTGAACCAGCCCTTAAGTCGGGCCCAATAGGAACGAGATTGGAATGTGTTACTGGAAAACTATGTTTCTGTATATGATAATCATAATTTTTATTAGTGACTGTGTTTACAATAATTTACAATTGTTCTAGTTTTTTCTTTTACCTTTCTGTTAGTTTTGCATGCTAACGTACTGTTTAACTACTGGTGCCCCTATTTCATATCTTTTTATTGTTTATCACTGCAAAATACGGAGAATGTGAAACCAAACATGTCTCCCCTGCGATAATGCCTTTGTTGCAATGCAGATATACTGACAATAAAATAAATAAAATCATCTAGGTTAATACACATTGCTCTGATGAATGGAGGGAGGACTGGTGTACATAGACCAGAATTCAGTACTAGTAGACAGGATGAGTTGTCTGTTATAGTGATGACAGTGTGAGGAAATGCAACATTGTGCGAGAGCAGGACGTCAATATTGGAGGACACAATGTATAAACACCGTCTCGCACAGGTGGGACAGGAGAGATGCTTATGTAAGCAACTGTTTGTTGAGGGAGATGCAAGTGTTTTGTGAAACAGAGCTGGCTAGGAGGGTAACTGGGAGGATCAAGAGTAGGTGGAGCAAGTTGCACTACTCCGGCAGAACTGTCTATCAAGGCCAATTGTTCCGACAAAAAGTCATGGCCCAAAATTATCTCGTGAGGGCAGTGTTCTAACACATAGAACTGATGTGCGATGTTCGGCAATGCTGACATGAGCAGTGGTGCGATCTTGTGCGCGTTTCAGATTCAGACAGAGGCGTTCCGTACGATCGAGTTGCACGAGATTGGCCTCGAGCCGTGACAAATGCCACGACGTTCTATGTCACAGGAGCCAAGGTGTCACATGTCTGTTTTCATCCTTTTTTTCCGACGGAGGCGAAGGGAACGTAAGAGAGAATGTCCGAAACGAAAAGGATGGATTGAAATGGCTGCGAGATGGCATGGACTGGATTGAAATGGCGCCTTTTCAGTATCCAGGCACATTAAGAACATGGCGTTTCCTTTCTTTGCCCCAGTTTTACGTCTCGCCTGAGCGGATGCTGCAGCAGAGCAGAAACGACAAAGCGAGATAAATGATGCATTTAAATAAATTACTGAAAAAGAGTTCTGACAATGTTTTCGTATGTTGAAACAAACAGTGAGTAGCTTGTGCGAAGAGGTCGACCCTTCCATTGGATGCCAGCGAGCCAGTGGCCAGAAAATATACACCAACGTCAAAGAACATATCCCCCAAACCATTCCACGGTCACTCACGTTTGTGCCTCTTAGATAGCGGCGACGTCGTGGCGGACCTCATGCTGTGGCTCAGTCCCTCCTTGTTGTCATAGCCACCCTGTCTGTCTGTCCGTGTCAGTTGTCGTAGACAGACAGATGTACAAAGGATGTACGGTTTACCGATGAAACCCTTTCAAGCTTCGCCCCCCTCATCATTACTCACTGTGTGGATATGCTGAGTGAATGTCATGAGTTGGAGCTCCTCGGAGAAAAAAAAAAAAAGACGACGAGGAAGTTGATAGAAGATTGGAAAAGGCGCGAGCACGCGCATCATATAGCAAGGCCCGAGGCGCATGACCCCAGCGGCGATAGGCGCGCGAGCAGCGACGAGCTGGCATTGTCGACGTGGGCTTCGCAAGAGAAGGACGCATCGCTAGCAAACGCAATGGCGACGGGAGCGGCAGGACAGCGACTCGGCAGCCTGTGACGCAGGTGTCCCGAAAAGAAGACTGAGACTTCGACACGCTTTGAGGGAGGCTACTCGGGATGCAGCCGCCGGGCACAGCAAGCGCCGACGTTCCAGGCGCAAGCTCCCTTTTAATCAAGCCTCCCAAGACGGTCCCCGGGTGGCCACGTCAGCGTTGAGCACCAGGTATCGCCAGCAGCCGCTAGGCCCAACCACCGAGACATCGCCACGTCATCGACATCAGGCGACGACGACAATGGGCGACCACCTTGGCAGCGGCAAGGACGACGACTTTCGTTGAAAGCATCGGGATCCCCGAAGAGGACCCGACTGATCCCAGACATTAA